GTACGAACAAAAGTAAGAGAAATTTCGGAGAAGAATACGAACAGGTTCTTGCATGAGGCCCATTGTTTTGTAACCCTGTTGAAACAAAGCCAAACACCTCAGTTTTTTATGTTTAGTAGTTTTCACCAATAAATGATTCAACGTTTAGCATTTTGTGAAAAACAAAACTGCACACTACAGGATTTACTTTTAGACCTGTAGTATGTACTGTATGTGTAGTTTTACTCACAAAGTCGGAGCCAGTCCCATCTGTCATCCCACTTGAACATCATTTCTTTCCTTTTCTCAATCAGCTGAACCAACTTCTCTTTGATCTGAAACAAGCAGGTTTTACAGTCACACTTCCATATCAGCAATATTAAACAACTCAGCCAAGGACAGCTTATTATACTCTAAGAATTAGTATTGTGATGTAATTAACCAACTGGCACATTCCAGCTGGGGGTCAATTGCTTATTTATATTCTTTTGCTTTTCCTATTTCTAATTAGTGTTTTCTCTTTAATCTCCCTGACGAATGTATGAAAAGAGGAAATTTTTCTTTTGGGGTAACTCAGTTGGTTCCATTATGCCAGACAAGAACAATTACTCTCAGAAAAGTAATTAAATCTGTTGAAAACAGCAATTTAGGGCCTAGCTTGGTTTAAAATTGTACCTCAGCAGAGTCTCGATGTTTGCGGGCCAACATGGACTTGCCGAGGTCTATGCAGTCTGTGAACTTTGCTTCCCGGGTTTCGATCTCAGAACGAATCCCCTGATGGTACTTCTGGAGCAGCTCCACAGACGACACATCCCTGAAGAAACAGATGACTGAGTATAAAATCTACCTCTGTCGGTAAGAAATTAGTTTGTACAGAAACATCTGATCAATGAATTTCTTCACATATAGCACAAAATATTTCAATTAAATCCTGCTTTTTTATATAAACTCAAAAAGAAAAAGCATAACCTAAAATACTGTGGAATATTTTTTTCTTCAACAAATCAAAGCTTTTTTCAGAAAATTGTCCTTCAGAAAAGACAATGTACCTTCAAATGATTTTCTATATCAAGCTTACTCAGTGTGATCAATTTTGTACCCAACATTTAACAAAAGGAAACCAATATGAAACAATAAACAGTTACTGTAAAAATACAAAACAAACTGTAAAAGTTACATTTCTGAAATAGCACAGGATGTAAGAAAAAAAACATTTTTTACTGAATGTAGATGAAGTTATTCTTCTTTAACAAAAAATAACATTATATATACACTGTATATATA